GGATAAACTACTATCCCAGGAATCACGGGAAGTTATTTACCTTTCAGGGTTCCAAATTCAGCTTTCATGCGCCGGTGCGTGAAATTTTTAACTATTTTCCAACGTTCCAACTATTTTTTCCACAGAATAAAGTACAAAGCAGTGAAAATCAATAGTAGGCAATCGTTCGGTGGGCGGAATTGCACAAAACGCATGGCTGTATATTTTTTCTGCCTACGTAAGTATTCTGTTTTGTTGTTCCAGGGAATCACGGTTGAGGAAGTGGAAGCATTCTTCTGTTTCCTATATTTTATTGAGGATGTTGATTTGGCACTGCATTTTTACAATGTTGCTGGGGCTGGTGTTACCGGTGAAGTGTTGAAAACTGTTGCGCGGAAGGTTGTTGGAAGGGAAATATCGGATCGCGTTGTTGATGTTGTTATGACCCTGTTCGATGAGAATGAAGTAACGGATTTGCTCTTGAAAAATGCTTTTTGTGTTTTCGCAGAGCAGTGCAGTGTCCGTTTAGCGTTTGTAACATTTGCTGTGTTTCAGGACGGAGTGCTGTCTCAAAGCGAGTTTGTGTCAATAATGAAAAAACGGGCAAAGCGGGGTTTGGAGCAACCAAAAGACACTGGACTAATTAAAATACTGGACGCAGTGGGCAGATGTACGATTACAATGGCGAAGGATCTGCTGGTACTTGCGTAGTGATTTGTAATTCTCTGTTGTAATTAAATCATCCAAACGACTATTGTTTACCTACTTGATATCCGTTTTTGTAAACATTTGTGTTTTGCTTGGCCAGTTGCTTTACTGGTTTTCAATAAATTATGACTGAAATCTTTTGTTTAATCAGCTGCAAAGTTCGAAAATCTTGGAACTGGAAACCCTTAGAGTCACCTGTGTTTTAACGCTTATCTTGCGTAAGCGCTTCCCGGAAAAACGCAAATAAAAATCCCGCAGCTTTAACCTTGACTGGTTCCCGCATTTTCTCTTTTCATGTGCAGGCGTGAAATTTTTTTTTGAAAAAAAACTGCAATGTTTTTTGAAAAACAGTGGGTGGAGCTAAACAAGGTAAAAATTTGCATCAGCACGATCATAAGCTTTTAGAGAGGCTTGGCACACGCTCTAAATGACTTTAAAGGTGTCTGGTTGTGATCTAGGATTGATAACATCTGGGATGTGGTAGTGGTGCCGAACACAAAAGCCAGTGACATCTTTTTAAAAAAGTTGAAATCTTGCTGGGTGCAGCACCGAAAGCTTTCTCGTGCTAAGCCGGTACAATTTTAACGCTTTTGTTTATGTATTTCACCTACTGCACTCTTTATGGCCGCGCAGTGTTGAAGCTATCAATACTTTTCAACTGTTTCTGTTTTAAAAACGTGATAATTGGACCGATACATTATTCCCCACTAAAAACGTCCTGTTTGGCAGGTTTTCGACTTAAATGTTAATCTGGCAACGAAAAATTATAATAAACAGCACGTTGCGCCAGGTCAGCTGGTGCGATCATGCGTTTTGTGCAACTCTGTCCAGCAAACACTTCTGTAGTTACGTCTAGCGAACGCTTTTGATATCCTGTCCAGCTGATGCTTGTGCAGCTCTGTTCAGCGGGATCTTGCTATTAAAAATGTCCGTCGTATTACTGTTTGATAAGTTGCATTTGGTTTAGCGCCAAAACTCTGTTTTTTTCAATTCTGGCGCCAAAACTTTTACGTTCGTGAGACTAGGCGTGGGGGGACAAATTATATGCGGGCAGGGAGCAGCGGTTTGAAATTTCAACCTCCTAGCTTTTCTGGCTTCCGAGTTAATTTTTTCGCCAAAATCTTCCCGCATCCTCTTTCATATGTCCGTACGTGAGTACCGGAAAGGCGGCAGTGTTCATTTTACGCTCAGGATCCGGTATGTAGGAGTATTTATGCGCTTTTAAAAAACGCATATTGATGGGAGAGGAAACATATATATTGTACATACTGCATATTTTACCATATATAATTTTACTATGTCGTATTTGGTATATATAGTATATTTATACAGTATTTTCATATATATAATGTTGGGGACTGGGGCG